TGTCCGAAAAGGATGGTAACGTATACATGTCGAGCAAATCCACCGACTGGCTGGTGCAGGAGCAGCAGGTGTGGTTCTTTGACTCTGCAACGCAACAGGTGCGCTCGAAGAGCAGCGACCGCTGTCTGGATGCCTACCAGGGTTGGAACGGTGGCATCGTACACGTGTACCGCTGCATGGACCATGAAGTGAACCAGAAGTGGACGCTCGAGAGCTCCACCGGCAAGCTCAAGCATGTCAAGCACCAGGGCTTCTGCCTCGACACGGACCCTGCTCAGGGCAACAAGCTTCAGCTGTACGGATGCTCGCCCAACAACCCGAACCAGCAGTGGAGCGTGATCAACCCCGCCAACATTTGAGCTTCGGGGTAAGACTCCAAACTTGTAGACACGCATTTCGCTTCTGTCGATAGATCTGTCTGTAAACAAAGCGTGACTTTCGCTCGTAAATCTCGAGATACACAAAACCGAGCTGATTGTACGTGTACGATATTCGCTTTGAGCTTCATGAGCCCTGTCAAAGGATGTTGTTCCTATCCATGACTAAGAATCGGTTGCAGTCGCACATGAAAGTCGTATCCATAGCTGAGGACAGTGGAAGTCATGCATCGTAGAAGTCGCTGTCGAATACTATAACGGCATTCTTTTGAAATGTACATGTAACGCGGAGCGGGGTGCTTGCCAACTAGAATTGTTTAAAGTTATTAGTCGCGAAACGAACCCGAAGAGCTACGATTCAACGCCCTCTTTCCATGAGGTCTGTAGCCCATGCGACTGGAGACTGCAAGCGTGGCGTTGAAGCTGTCGATGGTGAGAACGTAGCGACTGACGTCGTGACGACGTGACTCAGAGCGAAATATCCAGTCGTGGCTTTGAAAGGGATCACTTTCGCTGAGTGTAGCGAAAGCGAATTGCATCGAGGACAGGCCCTGATCCAAGTAAAAATGGTCGCAAGTAGTGTCGTAGATGGCACGAAAGTAGTTTTGCGGCAAAAATTAGCGACTGCCGCCTTTGATGCAAAGAATTCATTTTGCTGTGCGAAGCTTTCGGGGTGTCAGACCAAGGACAGATGGTAAAGCATAGTAGAGGCGATCGGTAGCGTAGCGTTAGTGACTCGTACAGCAACAGACGAAGGGATATCTTCTCTATGCCACTGCCGCCAACAGCTTCAGAACCTGGCGCTGAAAGCTGTCACTTTCATTTTTCCCAGTTAAACTTCACGTCTTACCTGCGATAATAACTCCACTAGTTCGCTCGATCGACGCTGGACTAATATTTCCGTCATGAAGCTCTTCCTGCCGACTCTCGTCGCGTCTGTGGTTCTCCTGTTTAACGGAGGCACCAATGCCCTCAACGTCAAGATGCCCGGTGTCAACTATAACTCACGTAAGGGTCCGGATTGGGCACCTGACAGTTCCAAGTGCAAGACCGCGTCTGAAGTGCAGAAGGACATGTACGCATTGAAAGGTATCGCCGACAA